TGTTTGCTGCCTGCCTTCTCAGGTGCTTTTCTTTCCTCATTGCTCCCTCTGCGTGTTCTCCAGGTTCACATGTGCACCCCACCAGCCTCATACAAAATCCTTCGTGCTGTGCCCAGTCTCTGCCTGATGTGGACCCTCCACCTATGTGACCTGGCTTCTTCTGCCTTTCTCTCTTTCACTCCACACTGCTTTTGCTTTGATTTAAGCACTTTTAATGACACCTTTTTTTCATCCCTTCTTCCAGATCTCCTCTGAGTTCTCCACAGAGAAGCTTTTTCTTCTCTGATCATCTTCATGTTTCAGTGAGGAACAGCAGAACAACTGTCACCTGTTGTTTTCCAAGTGACTCTGTGCCCCAACACTCCGAGAGCTATCATTTCACACCCCAATGTGTGTGTGCATGCTTGTGTGTTTGGGAGAAAAAAAGTATCAAAAACAAGTGTGTGGGGGGGTGATGGATGAGAATTTTGTATTAATTTGCTAAGAATGCATTAAGCAGATGGGTGGGTGAGAGGTGTAACTTCTGTAACATCACCTGCTCTCTCAGGTCAATTGGGTAGAAGCCTGCACAGATTAGAAGCGAGACACCAGCCCTGTCACTATACCCCTGAGCTGCAGCACCAAGAAGCTCCCTGTGGGAGCAAGAACTGGCTGCACTGCAGGGGATGGGCTGCTGGTGGTGGCGAAGGAGCAGGACTTCTGTGCAGTCGTCCCACTCTCGGGGACCTTGAAGGGCAGGTTAGCTGTGGGGAGGCCAGAAGGAGCAGCTGCAGGGAGGGGAGCAGGAGCTTCTGACAGAACTGGGCCGTGAGGACTTGGTGGAGAGCAGTGGTGAGCAGAGAAGCCTGCTCTGAAGGGACAGAGGAGATGGCATCAAAGAGCACTGCAGTGAGCTGAGAAAAAAGCTGCATTAGCTGGCCCAACTTTGTGACTGTGCTTGTGTGTCTGAAAGGGGACGAAGTCTGAGCTCTCTTTCATTTTAAGCCTGAGTTATTCCAGCCCAGTGACTCAATTTATTTCTGTCTCTGCTCCTAATATTTCTCTTTCAGGTGGCTGCTGCCTGGTTTTGGGTGGGGCTGTGGGCTGGGGCAACTCGTGTTTTCAAGCTCTTATCGGCATCAGTATGATGTTCTGCTTTTCTTTTCTGTCATACTGCAACCCGCTCCCCTCCCCTTCATCCCCTCCCTCTGCCGGCTCCCAGAGGAGGCGACAGACGGTCCTGTAATTTGGTTCCATTCGCTCGACTGGAGCAACACCTGCCCCCCTCTCTGGGGACAGGAGGGTCTCATCCCAAACCATGCAAGGAGCCAAAGATGAATCTGAAGCTCACATGCAAATAGAGCCCAGGATAAAACAACACGGCCATTCTGGGCAGGAAAGGCAAAATCCGTCACCAAGGGAAGAGGCAGGAAAAACGAAATCAGCTCTGAAGAAATAAATAAGAAGCGCCAGGAGATTGCCTTTTCCTTTTGGGTCGGTTGCTACTGCGCTTATTGATCTGTCCCACCCTGGAGAATAAACTGAGAGTACTGAAAAATAATGGCTAATATCAGAACACATCTATTCACCCTAAAAGAACTGGGTTAATTGGGTTACAGGATGGCTAGATGGATAGATATGTGAATAGATAGATAGAATGTTGCTTGTACTTCTTCACAGCTATATAATGGAAAAGGTCCATTTCTTTGTTGAGTTTCATATACCACATCCTCTTCAGCTCCCTACCCCCCCACCTCTCTCTCATACATACGCACATACTCTTTGCTAGAAATACAGCAAATATATCAAATCACATCCAAGACCCTCAGAACTTATCTGCTGTAAGTGTCAGTGGTAATATCCTATCTCACTCACCCACTTTTTAACACAAGCAATAAGACACTACTCTGTGACTGGGGAGTAGCATGATCCTGAATGCACGGAGTACCATGCACTTTGCTGGTGAGTGGCTGTCTATGGCTAGAAAGTCTTCCTTTTCTATGTGCATATGTAATAGCAACATAAATGCAAGCCCATATTTTGGAATATTTTGTGCGTTAGGTGTTTTAATCTCTTAGGAAAGTGTATGATACTCAGATACAGTCCTCCCTTAGCTGTACAGTCCTAAGGAAATCAGTATGTTCATTTGTAGGAGTTACTTTTGGCTTACTGTCTGTCCTCATTTGCTGGATCAGGATCAGGATCTGTTTCCAGGGTTCAGATGAATGCATTAGATGCCCTAATAATACCAATGTGAATGTGTATTTTGCCCCATGTCCCTGTGAGTCCATATGGGTCTGAAAATGTGTCCTAATAGGTGTTATCACCTCATATTAAGGGTGCACTGGATATCCCTTGTACTGGGATATTCTAGATCTATCTATTGGAAGTACTTGTTCTCTGTGAATGCTGGAGGTTTCCATGCAATGTTTTATGTATTGGATTGAGTCAGGCCTAAAATACCTCTGTTAGACTCAGCTAAAGGTCCAGAGGTAGTACTCTGCCTTCTCTGTCTTTGAGTGCACTTTCATGGTTTGTAGGATGACCTCCTCCTTAGTTGTGAAAGAAAGGTACCTGAATGTAGTTTTAAAAATAGGAAATATTAACTGTGTCTCTTCCCTGCCAGTTGTTGGATTGGCCACACATGATACAAACTTCTGCTGAGCAGTTCCACCCTATTCCTCCTATAGTGTTGTCATTCAAGTTTATTCATTCCTTTATTGATGAGAGAACCATAGACATAGGCAAAGTAACTTTGATTATATAATTAGACTTCATTGCCATCTAGCTCAGACTTGCAGTGAGGTGGAGTTAAAGTTGTTTACCCATTCTTCATAAATCCAGACTTTTGAACACTTGGCCATGCAGCTTTTGAATTATATTGGCCTTGTATCATGTACATACTACTCAGCTCTTTCCCAAGAATAAAGAAAGGGGTAGAATGGCAAAGCAAAACCTACATTCTGTTTTCAACTCTTATCAACTGCTAGATGACAAAGAATTTCCTTCTTGGTGCCAGTAGGAAAAAAAGAAGTGGTTGGGATGGTGTTATGGTGGTGAGAGGATATAAACAAGGTGGTGAGCGTATGAAAGTGAAACAGGACTTGTAGGGAGAAGCAATATCTTCCATCATATAAACCTTAGGAAGAAAAGGACATATCTTTAGGTCAGGTGCCTTGACCCTTCTGCAGGTTAAACTTGAGCCTTGATCCTGTGGATACCACCAAAAGCAAAGCCCTTCCTGCCCTCTCTCTGAGTGCAAGCAGGCTCTCTGTTTTTTCAGGAGGTGGTAGAAATGTAACAACCCACAAGATTTTCTTACTTCCAAACCTGAGCTGTTCCTACACATCTCCACATTGCACACTTCTGTGCTCACAACACTGGGGCCTCAGTGGCTTCTCACCTGGGCATCCCATGGCTGGGATCTTGAGACCCTGGGCTAGTAAGTGCTTCTTGATCCACAACACCTTCACTGCATGGACCTTTCTTGAGCATTATCTCAGCCCACACCCTGACACGTGTGCAAGACCCCCCGGCGGGGGAAGTGAGGCCAGGGGGAATGTGGGGTTCACACCTACTTATCCCACAACCAGTGTGCCTGAATCAACTGCCAGTGACTGCAGCCACCATACCTCACAGTCAGATATTGCAGAGCACTCTCTTCCCTAAAACATGCATTCCTCACTGTCAAGAAGGAAATAATATGGTTATCTTTTTATTAACTAAGTCCATACAAATGCTGGTAGCATGAAGACTTGCTGGATAGCAGGATTTATGAAATTGCTCAGGCAATTGCCATCAAACTCTACACAGTGCCAGATATTGAGCCTAAGAAACAAGCCTGTCCCAAAGGAAACGAGCTCCAAAGTTGGTGGAGTTATTTCAGCCCCAAAAGATGCAGAAATTGAAAACTGTGCATTGAACTACCAAACCAATGTGTGCTCCTTTGGGACATGGCAAGCATGCCACTTGGTAGAAAGTGGAATTAGCAGCGTCTCTGACAGGTTTTCTGCATGGAGCTTTTCAATTGGTCAAGACCACACTTAATTAAACTGCTGTGCAAAGTGTCAGCCATAAAAATAGGATGGGGGGAGGGTAAAGCAAGTAACAATGGATGATGCAGCCACCAGAGTCAATGGCAATATTCAAATTATAGGTAAAATTAACCTCTCGTGGAAAACAATAAAAGGATTTAATAAATGGGATGGTATACAGGTCTCACATTACTCAGGTAATAACCTGTCTGCCATTGAGTCTGTATCTGTTCTGTGTTTCAAATGACAAGATTTGGCAGTGAAGCCTTATATAAAAGGGTATGGTTGAGGTTTTCTAAGGTAGGGAAAGGGTTCAGGATTTTTCCTTGGTTTCAGTAGAATTAGACCTGGCCAGAGAGGGATCAAAGCTGAATTTAAACAAAAGCAAGAAAATCCAGTGCATTCAGGTAGGATGAAACATGTACATTTGGGTGGCAAAGTCAGACATATCAAAGAGCAAGGTGGCAAAAACAGGTGCTTGCAAGCTTCAGATTGGATTGTACAGCCTGAACTTTGAAATGTATGACCAGATGCCAGTCAAGATGTGACTGGGAAAAAGTGACAGCAAGGGTCCTGTGTCTCCTCTGCATTTGGGGCAGGGCAGGCAGCTGAGAGTGGCTGGAGCAAGGGAGCCGTGGGGGAAGGACTGCAGTCCATTCTCCCTAGGAAGAGGCAGGTAACCTGTTGAAGCTTTCCCACGCACGAGTTGAGAAGCCTGTGCAATCCTTATTCATAAGGGCACCACATCTCTGTCTTACAGAAAGACCAACGGGAAAAATAATTAGGAAAAAACAGCTTTTATTTGATACTTTTATTTATATGCAAAACAGCTCACCATTCATGAGAGATATGAAAAACGCATCAGATAGAAACCAGATTTATCTATTTTCACTACAAAATATTGCATTATATAAAGCAACAGAGACACACAAAAAAACCCTGAAAAAGACTAAAATCTTTGGATAGCAGATGTGTTTTTTCTTTTTCTCTTTTGTCCCTAGAATGCGCTTCTTGTTTTAAGAGATTCACAGCAAAGAACATGAAACATTTTCAGGTTATAGATTTTTTTTGGTTGTCACAAAGGAAAGCAGTCCTGGATTTACTTTTCTTTCTTTTTTTTTTCTTTTTTTTTTAGGAAAAAATGTCCTTTCCTAAAAATATACCACACACATACACGCCCACGCTCACTCCCACACACATGCATGTATACACACACGCACATATACACTCACAAAGAAACTATTTCCCTTATAAGCGATTTGCAAAGTACTTTTCAGACAGAACTATAGATCAGAATAACAACAAATCTTTTAAAAAAACTCTTCTAGTTAAGTGCTAGTGGTTGTCAATCCCACACAAGAAAAGAAAGAAAAAAGGTCAAGAACAAATGCCTTGATATATATAAAATATACTTATAAACAGGAAGGGAGGGGAGGTTTGTGGTACACAAGTGCAATATAATTGGAGGGAAAAAAATAAATTAAAAAGAAACCACTGTATTGATCCCAACAAACACTCATAAAGTCAAACATAATATTCCACAGGAGAAAGTGTAAACACCCGACTATAGAAACCAATTGGCACGAAGTATCCAAAGTAAAATTGCCACCACTCTGAAAAATAAATAAATCTTGAAAAAAATAAATTGTCAACTCCTTCTACCATAAATAAAAAATAGTTATTTTTAACTGCACCCATGGGTCACACGTTTAAGGTCACAAGTAGATGTTTTTGGATATATATAAAGGGGCACTTGACAGCCTGAAGAAACAATCCGGTTTTACACTTCTCTTCGAAAAGCGGGCTCTCGGCCGGGCGGGAGCCCGCCCGGGGAGGGAGGGAGGGCAGGCAGTGGGGACCCCCCGCCCCGCCGCCGGCCCCGGGGAAGGCGCTGCCCGCCGCGGCCGGAGCCGGGGCCGCGGGCGGGGGATGTCCCGGGGCTCCGGGCGCCCGCCGGGCGCTACACGTCCAGCACGTGGTTGAGATAGGAGATGTAGCAGATGGCGAGGCGCAGGATCTCGATCTTGGAGAGCTTCTTGTCGGGGGGCAGGGTGGGCAGCAGCTTGCGCAGCTCGGCGAAGGCCAGGTTGAAGGCCTCCACGCGGATCCGCTCACGCGTGGCGTGGGCCGAGCGGTACTTGGCCGTGGCGCGGCGCCGCCGCCGCTTCTCCTCCCGGCTCAGCGGCGGCGGGTGCAGCCCCGGCCGGCCCCCGCCCCGGCCCTCCCCGCCGCCACCCCCGCCGCCGCCCCGGCCCTCGCCGCCGCCGCCCTCGGCGGGCTCCGGGTCGGACACGCAGCAGCTGAGAGCCTGGGCATCCGCGCCGCCCAGGGACTCCGGGTCGGAGGGCGCCGAGGAGGGGTGGTCGGAGTCGGCGGCTTGGTCCGGGCTAAGCATCATCTTGGAGGGGGCGGAGGAGCCTTCCCGGGACAGAGAAAGCGAAGAGAGCGGGTCAGGACACCGGGGATACAGGGGCAAGGCACAGGGCAGGGACACGGGCAGGGACACAAGGGACATGCTGGTCCCCGCGCCTTGCCCCCGGCCCCGGTACCGCCTTAGGGAGAGCCGGGCCGGCAGCGGGAGGGCGGGTCGCGGCTCCTTCAAGGAGTACTAATGGGAGGAATATCGGGGTAAACGATGCCCCCTCATTTAACCATCCCCTTTCTAGAGTCTGACGGCAGCTTCAGCGGAATATACTCCCTGCCGTTATTCTGGGCGCTTGCTTGGGTGTAGGAACAGGCCCGGAGAGCAATAATAGAATATATATATTTTTTCAAACAAGCTAATATCCAGTGGCTCAATATTATGTCGATTTCTCGTCCCCTACCCCGAATTTTAAGAGTCTTTTCTGGTCTACCAATTTTTGCCTAACCATTTCTCTTTCGGTAACACTCTACGGGATCCAGGCTACAGACATGATGCTTTTAAATACACAAATCAAGGTTCCTCATGCATAACAAGGCCAGTGGGGAGATTTATTTCCCCAATCCCTACGGGATCTGATGTATTTGCTAGGCTCTCCCCTCCGCTCTTTTCTTTGGACTCCTGTTTTCTTTTTTTTTTCCTTTTCCTCCTGCAAATTGTGCATATAGCGTTTTGCCAGTTACCAAACGGGGATGTTGTGAGAGTCTCGATTTTCTAAGCGTGGGATTCAAAAAGAAACAAAACCCCAAAGCTGCGGCAGAACTTTTCCATCCCTTTAAATTTTCCCTCCTCTCCCCTCCCTGCGCGAAAAGGGGGGGAGGCTAAATAAATAAATAAATAAATGCGAACGTGCCTTTCAAAAGAAAATTGAATCGTATCTTCTTGCGGCCTCACAGAGCACCATCTGTCATGTAGACAGCAATACAAATCCGAGCGCGTCCGTGGACATGCCGGCATGTAATAAAACAATACATCAGGCAACTAGTGAATAACCTTGGACACAAATGTGTGTGTGCGTATGTGTGTGTGTGTGTTTACGGCTGGGGTGTCGAGTGAGGTGGGGAGCGAGACCGAGGGAGAACATCGCGTCCTCCCTTCCCCCGAATTCAGACTGTCAAGTATTTCCACATAAAGTTTCCAGGGAAAGTCCCACTCGGGCAGCAGACCCGGTTGGGAAAAATATAATAATAATAATAATAATAATAATAATAATAATAATAATAATAATA